TTTCCTCTGAATGTGATCTACTTCTTTTCTCTAGCGGCTTTCAATATATCATTCTTGTGATGAATTTCTGGGATCTTGACAGTTATACGTCTTGGTGTGATTTTCGTTGAACTGAGGTTACTTGGCATTCTGTATGCTTCGGTTACCTGAATGCCAGATTGTTTCCTCATATTTGGGAAATTTTCTGCTATTACTTCTGCCCATATTTTTTTAATATCATTTGTATTGACTCTTTCGTTCTCATTGATGCCTATTAATCTCACATTATTCATCTTTGCATCATCATGTGGGTGATGGATTATTTTTTCCTGCATCCTAGTTGTTTTTAAGAAATTCTTTATTACCTTTTCACTAGCTGCACCAGCGTCTTCAAATCTGAAACTCTATCTTCACTTTCACTTATATGATTTTGCTATATTATAATCACGATGTTAATTTTTCTCTATATCTCTTTGACTCTGCTTCATGCGATCTATTACTTTCCTGCATTGTTCATTCAAGGAATCCATCATTTTTCTAATCTCTATTTTTTTTTATCAACATCTTCTTTAGAAGCAGTTATGAATTCTTTTACAGCAGTATTTTTTTTCAGATTGGTTTTCCTCCTTATGTTTCTGTAGTTAATTCTTTCCTTCAGATGCTATGAGATCTGACAATTCTTTTTTCATTTCAGAAAGCAATTCCACTCTGAGTTTCTCTGTGACTTTCTGCTGTTGGTTATTTTCTATCGACTCTATTAATTCATTCATTTGGACTGAGCTAGTGTCCTCTGCACTTGTTCTGAGTGGGCATTGGGTGTCCTCCATATGTTTCTGCATTTGATTCTTTACTGCAGATGTTATTAATTAAGGGATTTCTTTTTTCATTTCCAATTTGAGTTCCTCTATACCTTTCTGCAGCTGTTTCTTTATTTCAGAAACCGTTGATTCATTACATTCAGCTGTGTGATTTCCAAATTGTTCCATTTTAGTGTCCTCTGTACTTCTTGTGGGTGGGCTTGGGTTCTGAGATTGCATTTTGCTCCTTCTCATTGTCATTTTGTGTAGCACTGTTTCTGACATTTGTGGTAGATCATTGTTGCAGTTATATCCTTAGCACCTACTGAAGTTCAGGTGCAGATCTACAAAGTTTGGAATTATCCAGCTGTGCCTGGCTTGGATCTGACTGCTGTGCTCAGCTCCCCCTTGCTACTGCCCTTGGGAGTGAACTAGTTGTACCCCTCTGGCAAAATATACTACTTCTGGACTAGCTGGGTGGTTCTGTCTCCTACACTCTCTGCAGGGATTGTAGCTGCAGCGTTTCACCCTAGGCCTGTATGCCAGGCCCAGCTGAGTCTGGAAGGGACAAGATGGAGTAGGTGGGAGAGGCAGCTCTCCTACATATTCACTGGGTCTGGACTAGGACTGGATCTGGGTGTTTTTGGAACGCGACAGCAATTCCTACTGTGTGGGCGGGGTGTGTCGGGGTACTATGGAGTGATAGGGTGCATCCTGAGAGTGTGATAGAGGGTGCCACCCATGATGCACCTGGGCTGGGACAAGTAGATCAAGCCAACACTGGGTAGTCATAACCTCTCCCACACTCTCACTGGGCCTTTGTTAGGACTCAATCTTGGGGTTCCCGGAATATGGCAGAAATTCTTACTGGGCCACCAGGATGGGGAGGTGCTGCAGAGCGGTGGGGGGCATCCCAAGGGGGTGGAACAGAATCTCACCCATGCTGCACCTGGACAGGGATCAGTATGTCCCGCCAGCGCAGGGTAGCTGGAAGCTCTCCCACACTATCACTGGGCCTGGGCTAGGAATGGGTCTGATGTCGATTTTAGAAAATGATCCATTTACACCTGAGAAAAATTTGTATTCAGCTGTTTTTGGGTGGAACACTCTGTATATGTCCACCAAGTCCATTTGTTTCAAGCTCTGGATCAGTTCTGTTATTTCTTTGCTAAGTTTTTGTCTGGTTGACCTATCTTTTTGGAATAAGGGGGAGTAAATGTCTCCTGTTAAGATTGTGGTATTGAATATTAGATGTTTCATGTCGATTAAGATTTCCTATATAGAGATGGGTGCTCCCGTGTTTAGTGCATACATATTTATTGGTCTTACCTCTTCCTCTTGAAATTTTCCCCTAACCAGTATACAATGGCCTTCTTTATTTCACTTTATCATTCTTAATTTGATGTTGAGAGTGGCTGAGAATAGGATTGCTACCCCTGCTTTTTTCTGAGGTGCTGGGGCATGTAGTATTGGGTTCCATCCCTTGACTTTCAGCATATGAATGTCTTTATGAGTTAAATGTGTATCTTGTATACAGCATATTGTTGGATTTTGTTTCCTAATCCACTATGCCCGTCTATTTCTCTTAATTGTTGAATTGAGTCCATTTACATTGATGGTTACAATTGAGATGTTTTGACTTACGATTGACATATTATTTACCTTCTGTCGTTTACTCCTTTTTCTCCTGTGTTTAATTGCTTACCCTATTTAGTTGGTTGCTTCTGATCTCATTCGTGGAGTTCTGATCATTTTTTTTTCTCTCTAGAACATCTTTTAGTATCCTGTTTAGTGTTGGCATGTCATCTTGAAATTCTTTAGTTGTTCTTGTCATGAAAGTATTTCACTTCTTCATCAAACTTGAAAGAATGTTTTGCAGGGTATAGTAGTCTGGGTTGGATATTCTTTTCATAGAAGACTTGAAGTACTCTGCTCCATGCTCTTCTTGTTTTCATGGTTTGTGAAGAGAAGTTGGCCATAATTCTGATGGGTTTTCCTTTGAATGTGATCTACTTCTTTTCTCTAGCGGCTTTCAGTATATTATTCCAGTGCTGAATATCTGGGATCTTGACTGTTACATGTTTCGGTGTGTTTTTAATTGGGTTGAGGTTACTTGGCATTCTGTACACTTTGGCTACCTGAATGTCAGACTATTTCCTCATATTTGTGAAGTTTTCTGCTATTACTTCTGCCCATATTTTTTTAATGTCATTTGTGTTCACTCCTTCTTTCTCATTGATGCCTATTAGTCTCACATTGTTCTGCTTTGCTTATCTCACAGGTGATGGATTATTTTTTCCTGCCTCCTATTTGTTAAGAGATCGTTTCTTACCTTTTCACTACCTGCACCAGCATCTTCAAGATCTGAAACTGTGACTTCACTTTCACTTAAATGGTTTTGCATGCTTGTGATTGAGATTTTAAATTCCTATCTCTTTCACTGTGCTTTATGCTATATATTTCTTTCCTGTATTGCTTATTCAAGGATTCCTTCATTTTTCTTATCTTCTCTATTTATTTTTTATTAATGTCTTCTTTAGAAGCAGTTTTTAGTTCTTTTACAGTAGTTTTTTTTCAGATTTGGTTTCCTCCCTGTTTCTGTAGTTGATTCTTTACTTCAGATGCCATGAGTTTTGAGAATTCTTTTTTTTTATTTCAGAAAAGAATTCCGCTCTGAGTTCCTCTATAACTTTCTGCTGTTGCTTATTTTCTATCAGTGCTATTAATCCGTACATTTGAGCTGAGCTAGTAGAAAAGTATTCTGCTCTCAGCTCCTCTATGACTTTCTGCTGTTGCTTTTTTACTATCGACGCTATTAATTCATACATTTTAGCTGAGCTAGTTTCCTCTGCACTTGTTCTGAGTGGGCATTGGGTTTCCTCCATATGTTTCTGCATTTGATTCTTTACCGCAGATGTTATTAATTCAGGGCTTTCTTTTTTCTTTTGCAATCTGAGTTCCTCTATATTGTTTTGCAGTTGTTTCTTTATTTCAGAAACCAATGGTTCATTAATTTCAGCTGAGTGATTCCTAATTTGTTCTTTGTTAGTGTGCTCTGCACTTCTTATGGGTGGGCTTGGGTTTGAGATTGCATTTTGTTCCTTTTTTTGGCATTTTGTGGAGCATTGTCTTCTGACATTTGTTGTAGATCTTTGTTGCAGTTATAACCTTAGCACCTACTGAAGTTCAGATGTAGATCTAAAAAGTTTGGATTTATCCAGCTGTGCCTGGCTTGGGTCTGGCTGCTGTGCTTAGCTCCTTCCTGCTGCTGTCCTTGAGAATGAACCTGTTGTGCCCCTCTTGCAAGATATTCTGCTTCTGGACTTGCTGTGTGGTTCTGTCTTCTACTTTCTCTGCCTGTATGGCAGGCCTGAGATGAGTCTGGATAGGAGAAGTTGGAGTAGGAGGGAAAGGCTGCTCTCCCACACACTCACCAGGCCTGGGCTAGGACTGGATCTGGAGGTCCCCAGAATGTGCCAGAAATTCTCACTGAGCGGGCAGGTTTGGGGGGTGCTGCAGAGTCTTGGCGGGCCCCTTAGGGGTGCAAGAGTGTCTCACCCATGCTGCGACTGGGCTGGTACCACCAGGTCCCGCTGGCGTAGGGTAGTGGGAACCTTTCCCACACACTCACCGGTCCTGCCGTATGACTGGATCTGAGGGTCCCTAGAACGCGGCACTTCTTTGGCTTTTTATTTATTTTTAAAATATTCATTCATTTACTTTTTGTATTTTAGGAAAGGGTCTACAGGGTGTTCAGGGTCTCACTGCTAGATCAAACTCTTAGTGACGTGTCTGTTTACAGCCTCCCAAGAGCTGGGAGTACATTCGTGTAATACCACTCCCAGTCTCAATTGGCCTTTCAGTACACCCTAGGGGCGGTGCCAGCACAGTAAGCCCAGGGTTAGGATCCCAGGCCCCTATGCCTTCTTGCAGGTGCTATAAACAGCTGAGCTATTTAGCCAGCTCCAGTTTTTTAAAAGAAGGTTCCAATTTATAGTCTGAAAAGCATACTTTGCTGCCTTATGTTTATAAACCTGTCTTCATAAATCTGCTTTAAAATGAACATAAGATGGAAGCAGTGATTCTTTCATTCTCACTGGTAAGACACAGTTGTTTTAACAGCACTGTCATAATAACATTTCTGCAACAAGAGCCAACCGAGTAACTCTGAATGCCCAGACTCTCTGTTTTCTGTAGTGAGAAGTAGAGAGTTATGTTTCCTACCTGTGTGGCACAGTAGCGAGGAGGAGAATTTATGGAGCAACACTTCGATGCAAAGTCAGAGTGCTCAGTCATCAGGTCAGCCAACTCCGTGGATGTGGCTTCAGGCCGTTTTGTTCTTAGTCGCTCCACCAGTCTGAAATGTGAAATGCCATGTTTATATAAGGAT